TGGGCATATAATGAGCCCCCTACAACCACGCACAGCACAGGACAGAGACGTCCTGGCCGAGCAGCCACTGAGCCCAGGCTCAGCTTCTAGGAGAGCGCAAAAGTGAGAGGGGGACARGAATTAGTCATTTGTTCTGCCGCTTAGTGGTGTTTACAACAGGATGATAATGGATGTGGTTTCTTCCATACAGATTACTAATACGTGTGGTAAAGAGACTTGTTGAACAGCTATGAAGAGCTCCGTGGTCTGAGCCAACAGACAAAGCAGCCCTGGTCTCTGGAGACACAATATTGACTTCAAGTAGGATCAGCTCAGAAGGTCAACCTGTAAAGTAGTGAGTTTGGTCATTCCTCTCTTGAGATTTGAATGTGGGTGATACAGATCTGGGACTATGCGGTGTCACTGTCACAGTAGGCAGTCCTCCTTATTGCTATAGGTCTTCAAATTGCCTGTGAATGTTCGGTGTGGAATGGCTTCCTATAGCATACACTGAATTCCCTGCTAAAATGGCTGGCTGTCCACATGCCTATCGGTTGGAGAACTAACGTGTGACAAGTAGCCTGTGGTTTCTAATGTTCGTTACCTTGGAGGCGCTTTTTCTTTTGACAGCTAGTAGGAATGTGTTGTTTTTCCCTCTGGACATCTTTGTAAAGCTCTGTTGTATTTGCCCTGTGGTCCTTGCTCTGTGGTAATTTAATGAGTGTGTGAAAATGCATGTCTACATTAGGAAAGTATTTATGGGTATGTTGCAGACACTGGAAGCAACAAACCGCCTCTTCTTATGTTGCCATCTGTATCTGCTTCACCCAACTGGCATGAATTCGTTGTGCTGCTCACTGCTGTTTTGGCTTAAATCATTCTGATTCCGTTGGGCTCATGGGGTCTGTTTTCTGGCATTTTGGGCCAAAGCCACTTTCATAAGAAAATAGCCATAGAGTATCTGGTGTTTGCCTCYGTCAGTTGTGGATGGCATGAGCAATCACGTGTTGTCTTCGTAATCCCTGAAGTAGAAGAGAAGATCAAGTCAAGTATAGATTTACTGAAGGGATAAATGGCACAGAATCTGATCCTTGGACATTCCTCCCCAATCTGCGTGAGACCTCCATTCATCTCGGAAGTTCCCTCTATGCCTGGCCCCAAAGTCCCCATGAGGTTGAACTTCTGCGGTTGCTGCCCTTCAGTTCTGAAGTCTTAACCAAAGTCTGAGGGATTTTCCTTTAAAAAATCTTCAGAAATGAGAAGACACAGACTCAAAATAGTACTTAGAAAGCTTAAAAGTTAAAAAAAATTAGCCCATTCTCCCCGCAAAACTGAGGGAGAAGTGAGAGAAAGTGAGAGATCCCTCTTCTCAGTAAGTATCTGGATTCAGTTGTATAATGCACAGCTAGAACTTGAGAGGGAACACAGAGTGATTTGATATTTTGTTTTGCATGTTCATTGAGTCCACCACATTTTTTTTGAGTTGCCAAAGAGAAATAAACGGTCACCTTATATTTTAATGCTAATTCAATTAATCTAATGTGGGCTATGCTCATGGCTTTGTACTCCCCRTCATGCTGTGCTTGGGCCAATGCCTCTTCTACAGCCTGTGCCTCCAGAGTCGTTGCCTCTGTTTGAACGTTTGCACCGCTTGCTGTCCGTCACTTCTCCACAAGTGTGACTAATATTGTTCACCCATCCGTGCCAGCAGTTATGTCACATCTTGTCCACGTGTTACACTGCCTGCACCTTGTAAATAACTTCTYGTGACACCACTAGTACCTCCAAATCCTGCGACTTCCAAATGTTTCGCTTATTCAGTTAACTGATTTATGGCCCTACCACAAGTGCCTAGTCATAGTGCAGAAGAGCATATGGGCTTTCGTGCTGTCTCATCCATGTGTGTTGATGGGCAGACAAGATGAAGGGCATGCCTCCCACCCACTGTGCTATCTGGTCRATTTTGCCAGATTAAAAATATTGCTGTTAGTCGAGGGCTTCCGCTGCAGTCAGAGCCATGCAAGTTTTGCCTCCACGGGGGACTCTGAAGCAGCTGAAACCTGGGCAGATATTTGGCTAGGAAGGAAAGTAGACAGCTTTGAGTTACCTAAACAAGACCAGTGCATGAAGAACACACGTGTCTTTCAGAGGCGAGTAAGTGCTGAGCCACTTCCAGTGTTAGTCCTGTTGTGCTGGGAATTGCTGAGCAGCATTTTACACAGAAAGGGTGAATTCCCCTTTGCTTGTTCTCTTTTGTGTCCATTGACTGAATAACAACTTCAGTCAGCACCGTAGTGTGGGCAGCTGTGTTTTAGGCAGCTGTGAATATTGATATAAATTCCACCATGCAGATTTTTGGTAGGACTTTTTATTTTTTATTTCTTTAAAAATTTCTGTGGTTATTATATTTTTTTTAAGTATTGAGCTGCAATCAAAAAGAAAAGCATGATCATTCCTGTAAGAGAGAGCARAAGTCTTAAAAACAAACACTAAAAGGTCTGAAAGAAGCTGTGCCAGTAGATAAAGTATTTCCCAGTCTGCATTTAACACAGAAGACTAGAAAATACAGTGTAGTTGGATCAAGTCTGCTGCAGAAAGCTCTCTTGTGTTTACTGACACTGTTATTTTAACTGTGCAGTCAATGTGAGGCATCAACATGCTTCTGTCTTACTCTGCAGAAGTCAAGAATTCACAGGAGTGTAAGGACTCACAGAAGCTTATCTTTAATCCACATGAATTTTGAAATATTTAAGGCCCTTTGAGCTCAGCAGTTAATAGCACAGAGGGGATCTGGCACACTGAAAGGAAGCACACATGGTGACTATCTATATCAATATCTATATAAATAGTAGCATTTGGGGATTTTACTAGATTTGAGCAATAGCTCCCTTGCAATAGTTTATAACTACATCAATGTCTATCCAAAGTCACATCTGACAGTGAACTTCTGTCTGTGTTAAGACAAGATGCATTTTAGTCCCTTAAGAAAGTTCTTAATTTTCTTGATCAAAATATGTCTTTGAACTCGAGGAATACATTCATGTTGTAGTATAGATACACATTAGTATTGCCTGAAACAGGGAGAAGAAATCAGGAGTAATAAAGAATAGATCTCATCCTGAAAGTTTTAGAAAAGAGTTTAGATAATATTATACAGCTCGAGATGTAATGATGAGCATGGGATATTTCAGCTCCAGAAGTGGTGGCATATTTAGAAAGACATAAGACTGTAAAAGGCAGTATGGGATTGGTGCCTGACTGYGTATTTGCTATCTAAATTTAAAAATTACTATTAATATAGGGTAGTAATTCTGTGGAGGACAAACGAAGTCCAACAAGAGGGGATAGTTAAGAGCTACTGAAAAGCTCAGTCATCTGTGCACTGTCCTGACCAGGGCAGCCTGGAACCATCTTAGGTTAATTAAGCTCTGCATTTTTCATTTGTACAAGGTGTTTATTCCCTTCCTTGATTTGAAATTTAAAATACCTGCTAGTGGTTTACAAAAATAACTATGTGATAAGTAAAATTACTAACAACACTCATATATAAAGCTCTTATTTTGGTGAATGGTAACAAAATTTACCCCTTGCCAGACTTGTGRGATGATGTAAATCAGGAACTTGGCTGTGTCTCACACGGTTTCATGCATCATTTCTCGTTTCTGTTGCATCACATGCATCACTATGGAAATTAGTGAAATTCATGGAATGATTTTCTCAGTGGTTTATGGTAATCCTGGAATTACTCATTAGATTTCTATAATTTGTGGAGTCCTAAAATAAGATTTGTGTTATGGACAACTATGGACCCTGATTATTTGTTTGGGGGAAATGTCTGTGTTCTAATTTGCATGTGATGATTAATAGGAAAAAAGGCAAAGTTTACGTTTTTGATTCAGAATTTAACCCAGAAATATTGTGTGTTATACCTTTTTTTAGCCTTCCTGAAGGATATATAGCCCAAATGATTTTTGTTAGCTTAGTTGTCTCTTACCTTTAGCCAAAACCAAGCACAAAATCACAAAGAATAAAATAACAGTGTACCTCCAAGCAAAATGTATGACATCAGGAATTGCTGGGGTTCTCCCCAGATTTTTCAACTGATGCAACTTGGGAATAYCAGTTTGCATGAGTATTTTTTTTTGATACAGATAATAGAAATAAGATTGTAAGAGTCCTGCCAAAGTGCAACTGCTTTTTAAAACTGCTACAAGTTGCATGTTCTCTTGTGACTCCGTGTTGACTGAGTGCAGAGGGTAAATAGAGACATAGAATTAATCCCATGGGGGAATCTAATCTAATTGCTCTTTCAGAGCTTCAGTAACTCTATAGTTTCTGAGTATGTCTTATATGGCAAGGAATCTGCTTTCTGCTTGGAAGATAAGGAGATGTTATATTACATGTTGACTGCTTTATAAACACAGAGAAAGACACACCTTTGGCAGAAGGTCACATGAGTGATCTATACAATGATTTCTTAACGCCAAGCTGACACTTCACCATTTCTTTCTAGGGTAAGTACGAGGCTATAGTCTGCTGTTGGTCTCTTGCTAAATTAGAAAAGCTAAATTAGATCAGGGCATGCTGTTGCTCCATGCCTCAGTTTAGACATCTAGCTCTGTGGCTTTCTTCTCAGCAACTGCTCTTGCCATCCATCACAATTCACCGCGTGAGTGCCATGTGGTGTAAAATCTGCCTGATACACGAGAGGAGGTCTTTGAAAGGAAACCAGAGAGCAGGGAAATGGAAGATGCAACAGAGGGATGCTGATAGATGTGGGATTTGTCCACTTAGCCCTGCTAGCTGTTTTCTTACCTGGTTTGTGATGGGCTAGTGGCTCAAAACTTTGTCATGATGTGTCATGAACTGTATTAATAGCTGGTTTGTCATGAAACTGTCATATGAAACAGCCAGCTGAGTAGTATTAAAGGCTTTTGTTTTCCTTGTGAACTCTAAATGGTTACATGATTTATTGTCTTCCAGGAAGTTGTTGTTGAAAACAAGGAGCTGAGCAAGGCAGCATGGCAAGCCGTCCAGCAGGTGAGAGAACAGCCAAAGCTGAGAAACTTACCTGGAAAGCCCTGAGAATCCCCCCTTGACAGTAAGGCATCTCTCTTTCCACCACAAAGAGACACACTAGCACCTGCCCCATCACTTTCTCCTGCCCTTTGCAGTAGTGCTTTCTTCCTGCCAGATCCTCAAGGTTCATTTGGAATAGTAACTGATGTAAAAGATTCTCTGTTTATCTGAATCATTACTAGACATGTGAGCTGATATGGCCCTGAGTTGCAATCCAAATTGCAGATTTTCCTACTAGGACCCTAGCTTTGCAGTAGGTCAATGCAAAGTCATGGCTGCTAATGCTCCAGAGTTTGAATTTGCACCCTGTAGTGCTAGAAAGCACAAAAGAAAGTGCTCTGCTAGTCGAAGAGGAGCTAAACTAAATGTTCTGCATGGAGGAAATGCAAATTGAGATGCTGTTTCTAAAGAATTAATATGTTACCTTAATTCAATGCATTTTTCTTGTCTTTCTAGTGAAAGTCTACAGGAAATCTGCCGTCCCAGGAGTTTCAATCACTCAGTTTGTTGATCGTATTCCAGCAGGATGCAGTACACCTGACTTTGAGCGGAAACCTGTCACCTTATCATTACAGGAAGGTGAGACTCTGAAAAGAGTTCATAATTATCCTAATTCCAGCACATTTCTAAAGAGATTTGACTAAACAACAAAAACAAAAAAGCTTTTTGTGTTTAAGATTGTGTTTACTGATGCAGCTACCCCTGGATTTTACTAGTATGTTTGAGATCAAAATCTAGCTCCTGATATATACAGCTAATCTTGTGAAATCTGAAGAAAGCTCTGAGGATAAAATTTTGCAGCAAAAAAAGTATGTTGAAAATGATTTTTCCTACTGAAATAAATTATCTTAGGAGAGTTCAGCACTAAGATTAACTGTTTTTAAAATTAAGGTGTACTTTTGATACTGTTTAGGTTGGGCTTCTCTACTGAGAATCACAGAGGCCTTGAGATTGGAAAGGACCTCTGGAGATCATCTAGTCCAAACCGTCTGCTCAAATAGGGTTATCTAGAGCATGTTCTCAAGGATTGTATTTAGATGACTTTTGAATAGCCATCTAAAGCCAAGAGGAACAGCCAAGGAAGGAGACGCCACAAAATCTCTGCGTAACCTGTTCCTGTGCTCTGTTACCCTCACAGTCAAGAAACTTTCTCACGTGCAGATGGAACTTCTTGTGTTTGAGTTCGTGCCTGTTGCCTCTCATCCTATTGCTAAGCATCGCTGAGAAGAGTCTAGCTCCATTCTGTCTGCACTCTCCCTTCAGATACTTTGATAAGATCCCCCTCAGCCTTCTCTTCTTCAGGTTGAACAGTCCCAGCTCTCTCAGGCTTTCCTTGTATGAGAGATGCTCTAGTCCCTTAATCATCTCAGGAGCTTTTTGCTGTAGTCACTCTTGGGGAACCCAGAGCTGGACACAATACTCTGGATGTGCCCTCACCAGGGCTGGGTAGAGGGGGAGGATCACCTCCTTCAACCTGCTGGCAACACTCTTCTGAATGTACCCCAAGATACCATTGGCCTTATTGGTCCCAAGGGCACATTGCTGGTTCATGGCCAGCCTGCAGTCCACCAGGACTCCCAGGTCTTTCTCTGCAGAGCTGCTGTCCAGTAAATCAGCCACTTGCCTGTCCTGGGGCACAGGATTATTCCTCTGTAAGGGAAGGACTTGGCACTTCTCTTTGTTGAACTTYATGAGGTTTCTCTCTGCCCAGCTCTCCAGCCTGTCAAGGTCCCACTGAATGTCAGCACAGCCCTCTGCAGTTTCAGTCACTTTCATGAATTACAGAGGAGGCAACTAATGAGCCCCAGATCAGTGGGAAACCTCCCAGAAATCTCCAGTGAAGCCCTTGAGGAGACAWCCACATTTTTCAGAATGCATCAGTGCTCTGCAAGCCCTCCTCTTTTGTGAGGCTGAACAGTTTCCAGCACCATGGATTTCAGTTTTGTTGTCACACCCATGTGCCGATTTTCATGGACTAATGAGATTGTACAAAGGAGCACAGTGGCCTCTAGTGGTGCAGCCATCCTCTTCCTCTTCCTCCTTCCTTCTGCATGTAACTTTCAGGCATGAACCAAGGCAATGTCTGGCCAAGATGTTAGCAGTCACAGCTGGCATAGCTTTCTAAAAGCCTTTTTGACTGAATACAGACAAGTTCTGCCATTACTCATGGGGGGAAATAGCCAGGCTTGGACTTGAACTGACTAGTACCTGTTTTCTGACCCTTTTCAGATATGAAGAGAATCAGAAATCAGACCGTGGGAGCAAGTTTAAGGTTAAAATCAACCCTTGAGTATATAATTTCTCTATCCATATGTGTGAGCAATAAAAACTCAGGAGGAGACCATACTTTTGGTGATGAATTTCGTAGTTAGTTTCCAAGTAATTTTTTAGAAAGCCAGTAAGGTAGTGAGAGGATTATTGCAGATGTCTTAGTTGCATGAACTTAGACATTTCTTGTAATTTTAGGTTTCTTCTCTCAATAGAATAAAAAGAGGTAACTAGATGCCTYACTCTGTAGATCATTCTCTTGACTACATCGAGATCCTAGCACCAGAGTCATCCCCATCTTTAGATAGCTATTGTGTTGTTGTCTTCATCTGAGTGAATGATTTAAACTGCTTTTATGGCTAAGGGAGATAAACAYGCTGGAGTTTGGAACAGTAAGTCTCCTAAATGACTTGTTTCAGTTAGGCAGACAAATCTAAATGCTTAMAATTGAGAGAGGTGAATACCATCTTTATTATGTGCTTGTTACTTTTTCATTTCATTTCTTCAAGTCTCCTTTAAATGAGTCATATTTTACCTCCTTTAAAAGGTAAAAACGCCATTTTCAGAGCTGTAGTCAAAGGTGCCCCAACCCCTGAGGTGAAATGGAAGCGTGCAAAAGGAGAAATGAATGATCCTACCAGATACCAAACTTACTTCAATCCTGCTACAAATGAATTCATTCTGCAGGTAAGGGTCAAATACTGCAGAGAGAATCCATTAAGCAGAGAGCAACAGGCTGCCAGCGAAGTATGGGTGGAATCTARCAGAACTATGTTTTTGAAAAGCATAAAGCAGCTCATAAAAATCACCTCATACATACACAGAGCTTCAAGATGAAATAAGAAGAAGAGCTGAAGGTTTTATTTTGATGTAGCTTGCAAAAACTACAGTTAATTACACCATGAGATTTTCTTTTCTTAAAATATTTTCTTCCAAAAAAAGCAAAATGATTTAAAAAGATCACACATTGGAGTAAATACAGATGTCACCAGATCTGAAATAACACACAAAAAATAGAAGAGTTATCCTCAGAAGAAAGATCTGAGGTGTCACTGAGGARCTGTTTTGTTAGAAGGTGAATGCCTGAATCACATGGCTGCCAGTTCTTACTATGTTCTTCTTTTTAAGATAAATAAACTCACTGCAGATGATACTGATTTGTACCGCTGCTTCGCTGTGAATGAGTATGGGGAAGCTGTGTGCTCTGCTGGCCTCAGGATCATACAAGGTAGGATTCGCAGGTTCTGTAGTCCAAAGGTCCTATGGTCCCAAGTAGCTGATTTTGCTGTGCAGTAGGGGTGGGTGTCTAGAGCATTGACAAGTTGTTTAGTGTTTTGGGAGAGATCCACCTCCCTTCATATCAGGTGTATACAGCGCACCTGACCTGGTCCCCTAATTTGCTTTCTAGTCAGTGATGAGAAATGGGCACTTTATGGATATGGTAAAACTGACTTATTCTGGGAATCTACTTGTGTGGGACAGTTGGAAGTGCCGCTATGCCCTCTCTGCCTATAAAGTAAGTGTAGACGGCCCCTATCTGCATTTGACAGATGGAGATTACAAGTAATCAATGTCAGGTCGACAAAATAATCCAGATTGGGATTGTCTCTTCCATCGATAATAACTGCATATGTTTTATAGTTCATTGGCTTACTAGTATTAGCCTAGTTATCTTGTTCATTTTATTGATTGTTTTTCCTCTTTTCTCTCCTAAACTATCAGTTGGCTTTAAGAGGAAAGCACAACAAGTTCAAGGTCCTTCTGCTGATGGTGAGCTATTATTTGTATTTKTTTGGCCTATCATATGCACCTCTGTCAAACACATGATTACTTATTATCCTTCATCAATGCAAGAAATAAAATCAACGCAGCAGGAGCACACAGGGAGTGAGATAGTTGCATTATAAGGTGCTATTAGAGAGGTGCCAAGGACTTTTCGGGAAGTAACAGCCAAATAGTACTAAGATGTGTCTGCCTTCCTGGCACTGGCAGACAGTCTGTATTCTCTTACGAACATTACAGTAGGAGAAAGAGAAATAGTAATTCATAGTCTTAAGCCTAAGAGATAGGCAGGGTTGAATGGGCAGCAATAGTAGAGGAATTTTTAGCAAAGAAATATGATCAATATATTGATAGGACCTGCTGGTCCTATCTTTAGGAYCTATCTTTAGACCTATCTTTAATGACCCTGGAGCTTACCCAAGACTTGTAAATAGTGAAGTAAGAGAAGAGAAAATAAATATGTATTCTTCTGTCCAGTCTTTCTGCTTGCTATTTATCTTTGGCTAAAGCAACATTCTTAAACATGGTTTTGTGCTGTTTTGACTAATAATTCCAGGTACCTGCTAGAAAAAGATTTTGCAAGGGCAAATACAGCTAGGTTGACCATGGCTGGGAAATAGGGGGCCTTGCTACAGTCCAACGTGTCTGCKGAGAAAGAGAGGAGAGAACAGTAGGAACCGATGAGCTTTGGTGGCTCTAAAAGAACAGGGCTATGGCTGATAAACATGACAATAGGTTTTATGGCAGTTTTTCAGAAGGTTAAAAACATCACCTGAAATTCAACATGGCATAATCAAAAGGCCTCTCATCAGAAGCTATTTTCCATGACCTTTCTTTTATTGACTTGTATTTTACCATATTGGGTGGTTCCAGTTTCTTACCTCAATGTTTTTTTTCTTTCACCTTTAATAGAGTTAAAGAAGAAACTCAAGGACTACAAGAAGATGCTGAGAAAGCGGTAAAACTGCATAGGGAAGACCATTTTTAGACATCCTAGTTGTTTCTCAATACGGTAGGGCCAAGGGCAGCTTCATAAACCTTAAGGCCACAATTCTTGTTTCCAAAGTTGCTGTGAGGCACAGCATGGAGATGGATAGCAGAACAGTTTACCAATGTCTGTTAGACTGAGATAAGTACAAAGTACCAACATTATTCTGAGGTTCCTTTGCATCACAAGATTTTGTCTTAAAAGATCTCTCTGATGTCTTAGCTAACAAGTAGCTTCCTAGCTTAGTGATAAATGCTTCATGCAATGAATTTTTTGGGGCTTAGCTGCATGAAGGGATACAACAATACCAGGGAGAGCTCTGGTCCTGGGATCATCTGCAGAGCCTGCCATGTGTACGCTATTGAACTCCCTTTGCCTCCTGAGTAGGTGGCCTCACAAAAACTGCTCAAATGAGAATGATTGCTTTGAAAAGTCCTGAAMTGAGCCAAGAAATTATTCAAAAGAGTGCAAGTTGGCCTGGGTCAAACTGTATTGGAGACTCTGCTGGCTATTTAACAGTCTGGACAATTGCATTCCGGTGCCCTGGGGATCCCAGAGCAAAAATGTTTCCTGACACTGTTTCATTTGATAGAATGGATGCAGAAAACCTGTCCCCAAAGGGTCCCATCCTCTACATCTGCAGGGGATGAATGAATGAGCTACAGAAATGATGGAGAGGAGGATGAAGAGCTTAAAGTGAAGGGAACAAGGAGCTTTTGTCATTTGTCAAAATTTCTAAGTCTTTTTCTTTTTTCTTTATTTCTGGTTCCAAGAGCCCCACAACCACAAGCAAAACAAGTGGACAAAGAAGCAGTCTGGCAACTTCTGCTGCATGCGGATAAAAAAGATTATGAAAGAATCTGTATAAAATACGGAATTTCTGATTTCCGTGGCATGCTGAAAAAGCTGCAGGAAATAAGAAGGACCACGGAGCTTGCACATGGAGAAGTAAGACAAACTGAAGCCACTGAARCACTGATTTTTAAGGAACTGTAGAGTTCTACATAACCTGAATCACTTCTGACAATAAGCTATCCCTTCCTAACCTACTTTATAGATTGAAAATTTTACTGTACAACAGAGAGTGATCTGTTGCAATGCTCTAAAGAAGTCCCAGTTCTGAACTGATGTGGATGAAAATGTTACTCATTTTTTGCAGTCCACTTTAATATTTTAGGAGATAATGATCTTAGGATAATTCTTTTAGTAATTTCCATGGCTATGTTCTGTATCTGACTGCCTCTGATGAGAATTTGGGCATTGAACTCATGATATATCTAAGAGTCAAATGGACCTTCACATATGGGGACATTTAGAAAACTGCACAAATAACAATTGCAGAATGTCTCAATTACAGGGAAAGTACCAGGTAATATATAATTTGCCTACATGCTTCTTCAATGCATTTAAAGTTAGAAATAGTTATATTCTATACAGATAAAGAGTAGGTTTTGCAGTAGTTTGTCAGCTAGCTTAAGAACTTTTCTCATGCCGGCTTTATCATTTACTAGTGCTTCTGTCTTTTTTTCYGCAGTTAGTACACAGTATCAAGAACCTGCAACACATCATGGTCACCAAAGACGGAAAGGCTGTCCTCAGTCTAGAAATGGAACTGAAAAACAGTAACAGCAAAATTTATCTGCTTAAGGTAAGGGACAGATGGGGGATGTGTTGGACAGTCATAAGAGTCATTGCAGTCTGTTAYGTGAAATGGTTGATCCACTGAGAGCAGATAGATATTGTCCTACAAAGTTGTCTGTCTTTTTTTCAGATTCCTTAATCAGATCCTTGATTGTTTAGAGGGAAATGTTAGTATGCAGACCCACATAGTCTTTGGTGGTACACATTACTTGGGATTTGAATATTTGAGTATAGGGGAGACATTTCAGTCGGTTACTGACGTGCTTTTGACTTTAAGAGCACTTCAGGTAGGAGGAAATTTTAACAGATGCCTAGAGGCTTTTATGAGAAAAGCCGATGGATTTTATCTGAGTGCTATATTCCATTCTAATTCACTTGGATAAAAGAAGATTTCAAGGAGGTAAAGCATCTAGTAGAGTTATGCAGTTACTATATTGTGTTTCTCAGGTGATTAGGGCTGTGAGTATTTCTCTGGAAACTGTATTTTAGTCAAATTGTAGTTAATGGATTTAACGTAAGGAAAATGGAGAAAGTAATCTGATTTTTCTTTGTAAGACGAGATTAGACTCTGGGAACTTCTGAAATGAACACAAGGCAAAGGCCATGAAGCCACAAAGTGGAGAAAGTAACCCAAGATTATCACAGACTATGGAGCAGTAAACTTGCCTGCTTATTCATCTTTGAAGGTGCTAAAATCATAGCGGTAAAAATACTTTTTCTTTAAAGTTGCAGAGAACACGTATTTGTGAAGGCCAAAGCCTTACTTGTGCTTGAAAAGTAGTGTCATTTTGCCAATTCTGAGAATCAGATGTTCTCTCCATGCAAAATTTACTGCATCTAGCATTGTCTTATAAGCATGTTATAAGCAATGAGCAGCAGGAATCCACTGTAAGTAATAATAGACTGTAGCTTTCTCTTTTCTGTCTCATTGACCTCAGTAAGGCAATTTCAGCATAAATATGGTCCAATTTATTTGAAATGCATTGCTGTAGTTATGCATTTCTTTTAGGAGTATGTTGTTGTTTCTTTTCCTAGGATGGTGAGAAGCTGAGATATGGAACAGGGGATGAATACAGAAAGCACTGCCTGAAACAAGTAGGAAAGAAATACACTTTCATTGTCAACGATGTGCATCCAGAAGATGCAGGCTTGTACCAAGTCAAAGTGGAGGATGTGCCTGTTTTCTCAACTGAGTTGGATGCTGAAGGTGAGGATTTGAATTTGATGTATATAAGCACAGAAGCATAGGCAAAGCCCAGCAATAAAAATGCTCACTGCAGAACACTCTTTTTATGTTGTTAAGCAGGGATTCACTTCTCCTATGACACAAGTGAAAAATGGCAGGAAGTTGATGATGTGAAGGGGGTGCTTCATTTGTAGTTCCAGGGACTAAGTTCAAGTGCCATTTTGGCTATGGCTTCAGCATGAACATGCACAAATTCTTAACTTACCCTATGCTACAGTTTCCTTGTGTAAAGTCAGAATAATAACAAGCACCCTCAATAATAGTGTTATGATGCTAAAATCCATCAGATCCATTAGATTTGGGCACAGGTGCACACTCCACTTTTTCTTTTCTACTYAAACCAGTGTTCAGAGGGTTGACAAATTCTTTTCTTTTTTCCTTCCTGCAACAGGATTTTCTTGGAACACAAAAGTCCCTCTGTTTCCTGTCTGTAACCTTTAATTTTTCCATTGCAGCCATTCCTGTGAGATTTCAGCAGCCACTCCGTGACACGCGTTGCCACGAGGGAGAAGATGTTGTCTTTGGGTGTACTCTGCGCACGCCCTGCTACGATGCTGTGTGGCTGCACAAAACCCACCTCCTTGAGGAAAGTGGGAAGCACCAGATTTCTGTATCACCTGATGGTCTGACCCACCAGCTGATTATCAAAAATGCTGACCCCTCTGATAATGGCATGTACACGCTCGACACTGGAATCTGCTCCTCAAATGCCTGGCTTATTGTAGAGTGTAAGTAACCCTCTGTTATTTCTGTAACATAATGTACCATATACTCTCACTGTCTGATTGCTCTGTTAGATGGTACTATGCTGAGAAATGATTCGTGCAGCCTCTAGGTCCCAGTTTGTATTTGGAGAAGTGAGAGAGAGATTAGACCTTTATTTCTATTCAGATGAGATAAAAATTACCCTTTTTGTTAGTCCTGCCATATCTTGGCTCATTTTCTCTGCAGTTACTACAATGTGGTATGTTTTCTGTCAGTTGTCTAAAAATAATCGCTGTCTCAACATGTTTTTCGCAAAGCTASCACTGTGTGAAAACAGGGAGTTAAAGAACTTCCATGGATGTCTTGCTAGATTGTATTTTTCTTTCCAAATCAGAGATTAAGAAGCTTGGAAGATGGGAAAACATGCCTTTCAGTGAAAGCAAATAACCACTTAGATGATTTCTGTTTTTTTAACTTCTGAAAAGTCTACTCTGCTTTCTACTTCTACTTGCTACTTGGTCTGATRACCTTTCAGAATCAGAAAGGTTGCTGAAGATTTACGAAGGATCTCTCCATTGCTTTTACTGAGCCATTAATGCTCTGCTGAAATATCCAGTGTGAAAAGCAAAACTGCGTGTGAGCTGAGAGCTCATTGTTCCYCTGAGGAAAAAAGAAAGAATTTTACATTAATACAATGTTATTCACAGAACTAGATTCTTTACTCTTCAGGTTTTCACGCTGGAGATCTAAAATGCCAGAATGCCAAATATGCAAGGTATCTCAATAGCCACGAGCTCCCAATTCAAGGATAGGAACTGGTGGCCACACTGTATGTGGGATGTTCTATTATTCCTCCTGGGCTGGAGGAACGCAAGAAAGTAAATTTCTAATCACCACTGTGATTAGACCTATCATGCTGGRAATTTGTCTTACTTCACTTTTTTTTTTCTTAAACCAGCACGTTTCCACTAAAAATAATTGACCTTTTAACTAAGAAATATATAGTTATGTTTGATTAAGCCACTAAAAACATTCAGGAATTGAACTAAATATGACTAATTAATTAATATTTAAATATATTATTTTTCAGGGGTTTAGAATGATATGATAAGAAATGATAATGCATTTTCTTTGATTGCTGATGCATTATATGTTGTGTAAACTATCTGTTTTTTTTCTCCTGTTCTGTTTTTTTTTTTCCTGTTCTGAAAATTGCTTCTCCTCCAATCAAACAATGYATCTTCAACACAGATGCCAAAGGAAAAAGACAAAATGAAGATGAAAGAGATGAAACTGGCAGGCTGAGAGGACCATTGTCAGATAAGGAGAAGGTTAAAAAACTTCGACAAGGAGAACATCTTGGGGACCAAGATCATTTTATGGACGTTAGCACAGAAGATGGCTTACGCAGACATGCCCGAGAAGGCAGCCAAGGCTACTCCATTGATGATGATGGCAGACATAGWCTTTTGGGACAAGAAGGGCTAGATGGAGCCCACAGAAATGGAAGGATGGGGTTGGGGCAGTTTTCTAGAGCGGAGATAGATGGAGACTYGATGAGTGATGGTGGTGGTGGTAGATTAGCAGGTTTAAGAGACACAAGTGGAATAGGGGCTTTCCATGGTGGGGATTCTTTGACAGGCAAAGCAGGTACTGGTGATGGCTTAGAAGGAGTAGGTGGATTGTATTCCATGGATGGCAGAGGTGATGCTAGAGCTGGATTCAAAAGTACAGAAGGTTCAGACACTCTTCATGGTGCTATGCCTGAAGATATTGGTGCAGGTATTGGGGCGAGGGTGGGAGAAGCAGGCAGCAATAAATTTCCATATGGTAAAGAGGGTTTGGTAGCTGGAACTGGGGCTAGCCTAAGTGGAAAAGGAGGTATGGGAGGTATTTATCAAGAGGAGGGTATGATGGGAACAAATGATTTTAGCAGTGCTGGTGTAGGTGGGATGCCTCCTCTTTCTGCTAGCCTAGGTGGAGCCAGTCCTGGGTCTGGTCAAAGGGCTGAAGACATTACGGGGTCTTTTCATGACACAGGAAGTGGCTTCAGAGGTGTAGACGGTAGGGTCTCTCATGATGGCAAGGGTATGTTGGATAGTGCACGAGGAGAGGGCTCTTGGCATGACAAGGGTAGTAAATTAGGTGATGCTGGTGCTATGTTTGGTGGACTCAGTCCTGATTCAACCAGCAGGGGTGGCATGGGATCTCCCTACAGTAAAGATGGTCTATACAGTGAGACTAGTCCAGGTACTGCAGCTGGTAAGGATGCTGTCGGTACTGAGATTGCTGGAGGGAAAGGATCCCTCTATGGCAAGGATGACCCGAGAGTTGGAGCCAGTGGTCCTGCAGGTCAGGGAGGAAGAACTGGCTTGCTGTATGGCCCAGATGGTCTGCCAATTGGAGATGGAGCCAGATATGGTGCAGGTGGCCCTTCTGCAGGGGGAATGGGAGCTTTGTATGGCCCCGATGGTCTACCAGTGGGACTAGGTATTGGAGATGCCACTGCTGGTAAACTTGGAGGGTTCTATGGAAAGCATGGACAGTCAGGTGAATCTATGGCTGGAGATGGAAACTGGACTGGAGCTGATGTAGCAGGTAAAGGAGGAATATCTCCCTATGGAAAAGATGGTCTTCCAACTGGATTTGGTGTTGGTGGTGCTGGTGTAGTGGGTGCAGAAGGATTTGGCTCTCTGTATGGAAAGGATGGCCTCCCAGCTGGGGCTGATGTTAGTGGTTTGGGTGGTGCTGGGGCTCCTTATGGAAAAGATGGGCTTCCAACTGGGGCTGGTGTTGCTGGTCTGGGAGGTGCTGGTTCTCCCTATGGAAAGGATGGTCTTCCAGCTGGGGCTGGTGTTGCTGGTCTGGGA